GCTGTGCCGTCCCGGCACTGCCTGCCTAATCATACCCATGGATGCGCGCAAGCTGCTCGCGACGTGCGCGCTCTTCCGTCGGCTCGTCGTCGCTGCCAATCTCCCAATCCTCCAAAACCACGCCCCCCCGGGCCGCTATTACGTCCGCCTTGGTACGAGCTGTGGCCCCGCCACCACCTCCATCGCTCCGCTTCAGCAACTCCGCCATCATGCTCCGCAACTCCCCAAGCTCGGACTTCATCGCTGTCACTTCTGCACGCAGATCCCCCCCCTGCTCGGGCCTTCCGTTCTCCCGCTTCTCTGCACCGCCTGCCCATTCCGGCTTCAAACTTGGATTGCGTTGCCAACACGCAGCCTCCGCATGCCCCGTCTTCCGACACACCCTGCACTGCACTTTACTGCTTACCCGACAGTCCCCGGCAATATGATCTGCCGCCCCACAACGATAACACGGGCCCTTCCCTGCGACTGCCACGGCCGCCCGAACAGGCTCTTCTGAGAAAGGCCCCGTTGGAAACTCAACCACCCGCTCCGGCTCCGGCTCCAACTCCTCCGAGAAAGCCTGCCCCAGGTCAATGTTTTCCGCCAGCTCGAATGCTTGGTTCAGCGAAACCCCCCCGCGGTTTCCCCCCCACAGCATCACTTCCACCTTCTCCCTAAGCCACCTTGGTAGGGCCTTCAAAAAGGCCAATGCCTGATCCTGCTCATTCAATGAGCCCGTCTCCCGCGCAAGCCTCTGCAGGCGTGCCTTCAGCATACGACACGTCTCGTCTGGCCGCTTCTGCAAGGTCTTCAACTCCCGCACCTTATCCGCACTGGCCGCCCCAAACTCCTCACGAAACAACGCCACTACTTCTTCCAGAGGATCCCACTCACTCACGCCCTCCTTTGGCGGCGTGAGGATGTCTTTTCTCTTGCCACGCCACACCTGCAGAGCCTCATCCTCAAGAAACGCTGGAAGCTGCTTCAAGAAATCTGCCCTGCTTAGCTTCTTCTCCTTCATGCACGCCCGTGCATACTCCGCCTCAAGCCTGTCTTCAAAATCCTCCAACGCCATTGACCCCGGCCGCCCACTGTAGCGATCTGACACCCTCGCACTCCGCTCCACTGACACCACCGCTGACGCATATCTGGTTGCCATTAAAACACCAACGTTTACCACCACTTGCAAGTTACACCAATGCCACACCTGGCTGCGCACCCGCAACTTCACACAATTGTTGCGCACCCGCAACATGACACACTGCGCACCCGCAAGTTTGCCCAACCCTTCACCTGGACGCTGACGCAGGTCTGACGTCTCGGTTCAGCCTCAGTGCTGCTGCAACGCTGACGCCGGCAGCCTGGCTGCCCCCTAAAATGCTTCAATGGCACACAACTTGACAGGCCTCGACACCTGCTCTCAAGCTGGCTCACCACTTCACCCCGCTGCCTGCGACACAGCCGTTACTCCAGCTGTTTTCACACTTTTGACAACCCTGGTGTTGACACAATGCCACCACCACTGCCAGGCCCGCCACCACTAGGATGTAATCAGGCTCCTTGCACAAACTTTCCTCTGCTGCCCTTGCAAGCTGCGCTTGTGACTGATCAATGATAAACCTTGCAGTATACAAGGCTTACAAAACTTCTCGTACGTATCAAATAAAGCCTCATACACCTATGGGCTGATTGCATTCACTGGCGCCACAGCGCATACACAAGCGCCACCGCACTTACACACATACAACAGCTGCTA